TGAGAACAAAACAAGCATTCAACCAAGAAGGATCTGACCACAAACTGTGATCTCAAATCTTTCTATGGAAAACAGGTTACTGTAAATCCAAATAACAAATGATAATTGTGCTGCCAGATGGGAAATAAGGTACTATCAATCCTAAAGCTTCATCCTGAATGCTAGCTGAAAGAACATAGTATAAGAAGATAATTTCGTTTAGCTATATAAATTACATGAGACTTTATTCTGACGTGGCAGTTTCTTGTGGGTTGTGTACAACTATTCTATTGTGCTTACTTAATGACAAACATGATTATTTTTTTTCCATATTGATGTGAAAAAGTCTTCATTGGTAAGATTTTTAATTCTCCAACATCTATTAATTCCAACACCTATGGTCATTTTGGGGTATAATTTTGCTCTTTGTTGCTTGTCATTATTGTTAGGGGCAGAAAACAAGTGAGAGGTAATGGACATCCGAAAAACACAAAAAGAAAGCAATTATAGAAAAACAATAAAGAGGAAATGGTTGCAGAAAAATAAAAAGAGGGAACAGTTATTTCAGTCTTAAAGAATGGGGTACTTGGGCTCTGGAACACTGACCACCAGTCAGAGAATGGAAAAAACACCATAAACAGGTTATGGCACTTTCCCCACCATATGTATATCAGAAAGAATGACTGAAACATAACCTTTAAGTCATGTCCATACCTAAGAAGAATTCAGTCCCCAAAACAATGACAAATACTAATGAATAATTATAACTAACCTTTACCTAAACTACTAACATATAAAAGAAAAAACATAAAAGTCGACAGGATCTTCTCCACTGGTAGAGACAGACTCATCTTCCCTTAGGAAACATGCTTTCGCTTTGCACCCTTAAACTTTCCTTACAATAAATTCTTCATGCATACTTGCTAAGTGTCTGTCATCTCTCTCCCTCAGGCAGCCAAGACTTGTGATTCTTCTTGGGGCAACACATCAAAGTCCAGCCATGGACAGGACAGTGACAAATTATGATCTTATGCTTGGCATTTTTTAAGATTATGTGAATCCTCAGAGGCTGGGCTAAGATATTCTTCTGGATAAGATTTGTTTTTGCTTCAGCCAGATACTAGGACACACTGCCCCACCACAACTACTTTATTCATTTTTCAGATAGTTTTCTCTGACTGTGCAGGTAGAATACAATCAAACCCTAAACCTGCATGAGGGTAGACCTGTGGTTATGATTTCTTTGGATATACTTTTTCCTCCCAGCCAGTACTAAGGCCAATACAGACAAGACCACCCTAGTTCTTCCCTTTGCCATTGAACAGACTGTATTTTATCCCTTAGACTCAAGTACCAACATTATGGACGGGTCTTTGCCAACTATGCCTTCAGCTCTCCCACACTACTCTGTATGAGCCTTACTTCCATTTTGTTGAGCTGCTATTACAGCCTAAGTCTCTTTCATTGCAGCAAAAGTTCTTAAGATGGCCTTCAAGTCAGCTTATGATTATCACATTATTTTTAGTTCTTGTTCCCTACTTTACCTCCTGCTTCCAACCAGATTTCTCTTACTTTCTTATGGCCTGTTATATGTTTTGATTTGGGGGAGGAGGGAGATTTTACTAGATTTTTTTCATCAGGAGGATTTTTAAAAATACAGTAGTCTCTCCGGGTGCGGTGGCTTACGCCTGTAATCCTAACGCTCTGGGAGGCCGAGGCAGGCGGATTGCTCAAGGTCAGGAGTTCGAAACCAGCCTGAGCAAGAGCGAGACCCCGTCTCTACTAAAAATAGAAAGAAATTAACTGGCCAACTAATATATATAGAAAAAATTAGCCGGGCATGGTGGTTCATGCCTGTAGTCCCAGCTACTCGGGAGGCTGAGGCAGCAGGATTGCCTGAGCCCAGGAGTTTGGGGTTGCTGTGAGCTAGGCTGACGCCATGGCACTCACTCTAGCCTGGGCAACAAAGTGAGACTCTGTCTCAAAAAAAAAAAAAAAAAATACAGTCGTCTCCCCCTTATCTGCAGGTGATACATTCCAAGACCTTTAGCAGATGCCTAAACCACAGATAGTACTGAACCCTACATACACAAGCCATGCACCACATGATGACATTTTCATCAACAATGGACCACAAATACAATGGTGGTTTTTTACTATACTTTTTCTATGTTTAGACATGTTTAGATATACAAATGCCATTGTGTTTCAACTGCCTACAGTAATCAGTACAGTAACATGCTATCCAGGTTTATAGCCTAAAAACAACAGGATCTAGTATATAGCCAAGTTGTGTAATAGCCTATACCATCTAAGTTTGTGCAAGCATACACTATGATGTTCACGACAAAATAACCTAATGACATACTTCTCATGCTGTAAAAGAACACATGGCTATACTATGTTTTTTTCTACATAGTACATACGCACCTATAATTTATGAATTAGGCACAGTAAGAGATTAACAATTACTAATAGTAGAGTAGAACAATTATAACAATATATTATATGATAAAAGTTATGTGAATTTGGTTCCTCTTTCTCAAATACTGTAACATTTTTGGACTGTGGTTGACTGCAGGTAAGTGAAACTGTGGAAAGCAATACCATGGATAAGGAGGAACATAAGTGTATGTCGTCCACTATGTTGCTGGAAGACAAAATCTAAGGCATTTGCTTTATAATAGTTATAGCATTTACCAGCCAAACTATACATCCTAAGGGATAAGATGGAGGTAGGGGGAGTAGATATAATAGATATCGATATGAAACAAAGTAGCCTGCAGAATGTTATTGCCCTCCACAACTATTTCTCTCAGATACCTTAAGTAAAATTTAAGTACTATGAATCTCTTTAGAACGTGAATACAGACATAACACAAAATTTATGATATCTGCTTTACCATATAGCAAGGTGCTAAGTGTTCATTTTTGTTCTTTCGCCTCATCTTTCCACTACTTTAAATAACAAGACTCTTTATCCACAATTTTCTTAGTTAAAAAAATATTAAGAACCCTGTTTTCTATTCTCCTCGTGAGAATAAATTTAAAAGGAGGTCAATCTATTCAATTGGCCAATTGATTCATTGGTATATCTATATGATCTACATTATCTGCTATCTGAAGCCCTATCATTCAACTCTTTTATGAACAAAGGCAAGTAGCTTTTTTTTTTTTTTTTTTGACAGTGTCTTGCTCTGTCATCCTGGGTAAAATGCAGTGGCGTTATCATAGCTCACTGAAACCTCAAACTCCTGGGCTCAAGCTATCCTCCTGCCTCAGCCTCCCAAGTAGCTGGGACTACAGGTATATGTCACCAAACCCAGCTAATTTTTTCTATTTTTTGTAGAAATGGAACATGGGGTGGGGGTGATCTTGCTCTTGCTTAGGCTGGTCTCCAACTCCTGACCTCAAATGATCCTCCTGCCTTAGTCCCCCAGAGTGCTAGGATTATAGGCATGAACCACTGCTTCTGGCCAAGACTAGTAACTTTTTATGATAGAACAATCATCTATTTAAGGACCACATTTTCCTTGGAGAGATATGGGTGGCAATATCAGGACCTGGCTTCATAAGGACACACTGAATTTGCAAGGTGTTGCTAAGCTTGGTCTTTTAAAAACTTGGAGAGTGTGCCAAATAAGTCTACTTAACCAGTATACCTAAATGCTATCTTGGTCCCCTCCAAATGGTACAAGAGGTCTTGATAAGTATTGTGACTTCTGCTGTTTTACAGGGACACTGTGGCAGTAGTGAGACTAAAGGGGAACTGGAAGTCAGGACTTGGTTCAAAAGCAATAAAAATATTCCAGTCCTATGGGGAGTTGGAAGGTTTAGAGCTGAAATCCATCGGTTTGGAAGGAATTTAAAGTAATCTAGTTATCTATTGCTTGATTTGGGGGTGGGAGGAAGGATGCTAGAATGTAAGCTCCATCAGAGAAAGAAGCTCTCACTGATTTACTCCAGGTGCCTAGACAAGTGCTTGACACACAGCATGCATTCAGTAAACAGTTAACTGAATACAGCAGTGCTAGATAGAATACAAGAGAAAAAATTGATCAGAACTTGGAGGCTTCATTTGAGGGGCAACGGAGTCAAGAAAATTCCCAGTGACAGAAATAAGTATGTCAAGAAGGGGAGCTCATTTTTGAGGATAACTATGATAACTTAAGGGTACGGTAATAATACTTGCATTTCTAATATGACCTCAACTGCATTATGCTTACTTGAACTTATCTATGTTAGAATGGATGTAAATCCCCTAGATTTCCAAGAATTCGCTAATCATCTAAAAGTGTTTCTTACTAGACGCTGCCTGCACACTCTCCATGTTCTTTCTGCACACAAACGCGAGGGGGCGGGGAGCGTTAGCAAAAGAAAAGCCGGGAGGGAAGGGGCCAGGGCGATAATCCCGTCTCTGTTGCGATTGCAGCACCCTCCTCAGTTTTAGGGCGCCCATCAAGCAGAGAGCTGGAAAATGACTTAATGTCCAACTCTTATATTTCCTGGTTCCAGGCTGTCCCTCCGGGGTGCAGTTGGCGCCAGCTGCGTAAGTATGACCGAGCCTGGGTAAAGGTCGCCCGCTGTCTGGAGCGTGGCCAGGACCCTTCCAGGTAGGTCAGAGTTTCGGCGTCTCTTTCCGGAAGGCCGAACGCCCGACTCACAAAGCTCGTTGCTTCGCCGCGCCCAAGACCTGTCACGATAGCAGGATTACCCCTCAGTACACCATGCGACTCCAGCTTCCGCCCGCACACGCAAGCGCACAGAGGCCGGCGGGTGATGTCAGCGCCTCCCGGCACCACCTCGGCGTCGTGCGCGCAGGGCCTGTCGTAACGGCCGGGCAAGAGAGGCCTGGAGAGGAAGGGCACCCACGCGGCACACTCTACCCTGCTAGTCGGCGTGCGCGCGCAGGCTCCTGGCGCCGGCCCTGGAGGCTGGAGCCAATGAGACGCCGTGACGTCACTGCGTAGCAGCCGGCTCGGCCGCTCGTCTGGCCGCGGGAGGGCGGAGCGAGTTCGGTTGCACCAACACCGGTACATAGGTGCGGCCCGGCGTGTCCTTGGACTTAGAGAGCGGGACGTCCGGCTTCTGACTGGGAACCTTCGTGTCGTCAGCAACCAAAGAGAGGTGAGCGCGGGGAGCGGAAACCGTAGCGGGTGTGAGGCCGAGGTGTGGGGGGCGCGGAAATGACCGAGGTCTTCCCCAGGATCCTGTCCCAGGGAATCCCGCGTGGGGCGGGCAGGGCCGGGAGTGAGAACCCTGGACGGTGGCCAGCCAGAAGCCGGTGGGTAACGGCTTGAGATGGAGCAAAACACTAGCTAGGTGTGGACTAGGTTGGGAACTCGAGGCGGTTTGGATGCGGATTCGAGGAAGACGCGGGCCTCCCGTTGTCGGTGCTGGGGACAAGACTTCCTCCCGAAGGGCCAGAGCTTAGCCCTTCACTGCCTCCTTCAGAGAGCAAAAGCTGCTGCTTCTCTAATAAGGGGTCATTTCTTTTCCTGGCTGCCTGTTGTTAATTCTGTCAACCGTTCCAGCATCCCGAAAAGGTAGATTTTCATCAGTCACCTTGAAAGCGACCTGGCTGGGTGACCGACCTCGTGGTCGTCCCCGGGGATCTCAGAGGTGTGGGGAGAGGGGATATCCATGGGAGACCTCGCAGCCCGCTCCTGTGCTCTCATCTGCAGCGAGGCAAGTTAGATGACAAGCTACAACTGTGACCTGAGTAGGTGTAGACAGCCAGGACCCCCTTTTTAAAAAAAAAAAAAAAGTATGTGCTTTATATTGTCATCAGAGAGAGTGGCTTTAAGTTGTAGTACGAATAAATGACTAGACCTTCTCAAAAGTTGGAACTTTGGTACAGTTTTGGTTTAATGTAATCGCAGTTCAACTTCATATTGGTGACTCTGTGACCTTGACCTCACTTTTGAAACTGATTTGAACTAGGTTCTTACTTTGCTTGCTTGGACTTTAACCTTCATTTACTTACACATACAGAGGTATGTATTTAGGAGGTTCTCCTAAATAGTGTTTTTGGTGTTAGAGAATATTGTGAGTGTACTGAGTGAAACAGGATTCATCCTGGTGCTTAATGTCATAGATTAGCAATGGATTAGTAATTAAATAAGGAAAGTGATCATTGGTTTGCACTGTATTTGTTACTTGAGGAAAAAATTACTAAAGTTGGGTCTTTTCATTTTTAGAATTAAATATGGGTGATGTTGAGAAAGGCAAGAAGATTTTTGTTCAGAAGTGTGCCCAGTGCCACACTGTGGAAAAGGGAGGCAAGCACAAGACTGGGCCAAATCTCCATGGTCTCTTTGGGAGAAAGACAGGTCAGGCTGCTGGATTCTCTTACACAGACGCCAATAAGAACAAAGGTAAGAGGAAGACAGTTGTTAAAGAACACAGCACAAATTGTGTGAATGTAACCTGTGGCAAACTCTTACCAAGAATGTGAAATACTTAATGCATCCCTTCTTGTTTAGGCATCACCTGGGGAGAGGACACACTGATGGAGTATTTGGAGAATCCCAAGAAGTACATCCCTGGAACAAAAATGATCTTCGCCGGCATTAAGAAGAAGGGAGAAAGGGCAGACTTGATAGCTTATCTCAAAAAAGCCACTAATGAGTAATAATTGGCCACTGCCTTATTTATTACAAACCAGAAATATCTCATAACTTTTTTTATGTGTACCATAATTTAATTGGTCTCATACACCAGAATTCAGATCATGAAAGAGTGACAAGAATATTTTTGTTGGACAGTCCTGATTTAACTAAGACTGGCTTGTGGTTAATTCGGTTTTTTGAATTCTGATAGTAATTCCAATACAGTAAATGCTATCACTGTTTTCCCCCCTTCTGAAGATGTGATTGGATTAATTAGTAGTGTTCAACTTTTCACAAGAATGGTAAATTGCCATTTCAAAACCTGTTGAAGATTGGTTTTATATTTAGATTTATATAACTGGTTATGTGAATATATTTAAATACTAGGGAAATCGCTTTACTGTCTTGGAACCAAGCGAGACTCACTGGTGTTTTAATTTGTGTTTATTAGCCTGTTAAAGGCGAGGGCTGGAGATAAGGTAGCTGTGTTTACTTTATATATTTTTGGTCTTCGCTATGCCAATCCAATTTCCCTATGTCTACTAAAATGCTGCCTTTTATTTATTGAAAGGCATTTTAGTGTGGTTTATGTGTAATATCAAATAAAGAATATTTAACACTTCTCACATTTTATAGACAATCTATAAGGTTGAATGCTTTTAAAAGTCAGTGTGAAAAGAAATAGCAAATTAAACTTTTGAGTTCTTTACTACCTTAAGTCAGACTAAGTTATAATTTAGGATTGTCTTTAAACAGCTGTTCAGAAACACATAAAACTGTAGAAGATCTATATAAGTGTGATTGGTAATGGTGCTTTTACCAACTCATTAAAAGGCTTAAAGTAGAGGAGATATACACAAATTCAAAAATTATGTGTGATCATAACTTAATTAAAAACAAAATCAGAGATCATGAAATTTTGACTGCTTGATTTAATGACTGGTGACAAAATTTTAATGGTTAAAAGGTACAGTAGTCCTAACTACCAATGTAGCAATGTTATCAGTAATGGTACTAGATTGTGTTTTCTTAGTCCTCTAGGACAGCTTGAACACTAGAACAACACTTAACTGATTCATACTTTAGTTTCTTTGGCCAGAATGAGAATTGCAGTATTTATGCCAGACACAGATAAAAGAATGCTTGTGGTCAGAGCTGTGTGATGTGTAACAATGTATAGTTACATACTAAATTATTCTGTGCACAGTCCATGCCCTACACATTTAGAGTAGTCCTTAGAAATTTTATGGAGATAGTGAGCCTGAACTAAGCCATAAAGAATGGCAAGGGAAATAAGTCTAGTCTGGTGGGAGAGAAAGCCACTTATTTGTGGGATAGTGAGGAGATTGGGAAGGGGGCCTTATCCATGGTTTCAAGGGTAAAAAGAATAATTAAACAGGCCTTTATGGTCTGGCAAAGTAATTTGTAATGTGGAGGTCTTATTTGCACTCATAGAAGAAAATTCTAGAAACACATGCAGAAACAACTTTGGAAAACCAGCTGTAATTCAGATTTGAAGTCCTTACCTAAGTTATGTTGGGAGATTAAATGATACATCCCAGAAATCCTTCAAAGATTTCAGCCTTTGTAACAGAGGATGTGTTGACTACATTAAGTTAGTGGTATTCAGAGATAGTATAGGAACAATTCTGACTAATGTCTGCAAAGATCTGAAAACTAGGGAGTTGATTTTCATTTGTTTGCGTCTTGGGGATGATGCAGAATATAAGCGTTATGTTGACATGGATACAGAAATTAGGCTTAATCTTTGTAGTAATGGACCATTCATCTTGGTTAGTTTACAAATTCAGAAATTCCATTTTATCATTTACCCCAGAAGTGATGAAGCTCTGGTGACTTAGCCATCATCGAGCTAAGAAATGCTGGTAAATTCACATACAACATGAATCTTTCTTGAGAGCTTGGATTGATTATATACACAGAGCATGCCCATTAATAACAACTTAGGTTCAATTATTTTTAAGTTTAAAGTTTTCTCATTTCTGTGTCTCATATCAATTAAGGTCTGTATTGGCAGTTTTATATATATATATATATATATATACACACACACATATATAGTGTTATATCAACTAAGGTCTGTCTTATTCTAGGCCAGGTATGCTCAGATAAGTAGGGATTTATAATATAAGTGATCTATAATTCAAAAGAAGGGATGTTCCTAACAGTAAGGAATACATACTGTTAGAAATAGAAATTGGGACTGAAGCTAACACTTGTAATCCACATGTCTTCATTCCTAGTGCTTCACTGTAAGTGGTTAGGATAGTGGTATCAAAGTGAGAGCCAGAGGTATTTAAGGTGTTTATTTAAGTTCTTCCAAGTGCTACCTACACTCTTGATTTTTAACTTTAAATTTATATGGCCACAAATGGCTAGTGAGTACTGTATTGGCAGCAGGGATCTCTGGAACCAGTAGTTTGTAACAGAAGTGCTTCCCCTGGACTGTATTTTTTTAATCTAGGATTCTTACAAGTACACTATAATGCTCTTCAGAACACCAATTCCTATTTCTAAACCTGATGTGCTCTATTAATTTATTATATGTTTGACCTATTCTGATCATAAATTGACAGTTTACTTTGGATAGGTAGCCGGGGAAGTACCTTTTTGTCATCCTTTTCCTGCACTTCTCTCTAATTTCTTCATAGACATTATATTATACATTTTCACTTTAACCACTGAAGATTGTTATGAATTATTAAAGGAATGCTAGAATGCACCTACAAAGAGGCCTTACCAGGAACTAACCTTCCACAGTTGACTAGTCTCAGGCTGTTTCATGGTCAATCTCTGGCAAGAATAAGCCACAATCAATTTTCTTAAAATGGAGAATATTCATTTCTAGTGATGGGCTCTTTGGGCTCTCCTTCGTCTTATCAGAATATCTTGAAAGCCAAGAAGGACGTTACTGAGCATGAAACATTGGCACGCCATGTACCTGACAGCATACAAACATACCTCTATGGTGACCATAAAGTTTGTCTCCCAGGTATATCTCTTCTAAGCAGTGCTGGGGTACATACTGAGCTGCTTCTTTGGCTGCATTTTTTGTGCCTCAGACTGACCATTGTCTTGTTATTCACATCCTTACGGTATAATACAAAATATTACATTTTCATTTAGATTCCAGGTTATCTTAGTTGGAGTTTGGGGTATTTGAAATTGGTCTTGTTTCCCTCAGAAAGCGAAGTAGATTTCCTATGTTTATTTTTCAAAGAGTAAATGTCCAGGTTGGGAGGAACTTCACTGGCAGTCTTTTCTGTGTATAACCAACAAATAAAATACAGCTTTCCATACATAGAAATACACAGGAGAGTACCAGCATATGGTGATTGTTACACTACTCACGATTTTTAGAATGGGCCTGGGAAAAATGGCAAGAGATGGTTGACTTGATTGCTAGAACTTTGACAAAATATTTTTATTTTAATCACATGAGTAAAGTCTCAGGATGCTGGAGATGGAAGAGATCCAAGAGATTTTTCACCACCTAACTGCTATTATACAGGTGAGAAATGAAGTTGACCTAAGCTAGGCTTATCTAGCTGATTAGCAGCATAGCTAAAACCAGAACCGAGATCCCCTGCCTCAAATTTGGTCTTAGTCAAAACCCCTTGTACTCAGACATACTTGTGAATTTCTTCCTGTTAAATATTCATTAGAAATGCAGGTATGTTTCTAATTGGGGCCATATTTGAATGTCTATATAAACATCTAAACATTTTTTTGAGACAGTCTCACTCTGTTGCCCTGGCTAGAGTGCCATGGCATCAGCCTAGCTCACAGCAACTTCAAACTCCTGGGCTTAAGCAATCCTCCTGCCTCAGCCTCTGGAGTAGCTGGGACTACAGGCGTGTGCCACCATGCCCAGCTAATTTTTTCTATATATTTTGAGTTGTCCAGCTAATTTCTTTCTATTTTTAGTAGAGACGGTGTCTTGTTATTGCTGAGGCCAGTCTCGAACTCCAGACCTCGAGCAATCCTCCTACCTCGGCCTCCCAAAGTGCTAGGATTACAGGGATGAGCCATTGCGCCCAACCTAAACATGTTATATTTAACATTTTAAATTTATTTAAACATATGTATTTATAGCTTGAACAGTATAGTTTGAGAAAGGACCATTGGACTAGTATATTATGGTGTAATACAGAGAATGCTGGGCCTGGGATTAGAAAAAATTGTGTTTAGAGTAGTGTGTGTCCATAAACAACAGCCTGTGGGCCCAATCTGACCAGGGGTGTGTTTTTGTGAATAAAACTTCGTTGGATCACAGTCATATTCATTTATGTATTGTCTAGGGCTGCTTTTGTGCTACAGCATTGGAGTTGAGTAGTTGCAGCAGAGACTGTGGTCTGCAAAGCCTAAAATATTTACTGTCTGGCACTTTAAGGAAAAAGTTTCTCAGCCCCTGGTTTAGAGCTTTGCTTTGCTAATCTGATTAACACAACCTCATTTTTGCCGTTTGAAGAATAGGAATAATCTCTTCTTCAAAAGATTAATTGAATTTCGTGTGAAAGCCCATATCTATGGTAAGCATGTAAAGATTTGTTCATTTTATATCTGTCAAATTCCTTGAAAGTCACACAGTGAAAAATTACTGCTTCCAAGGTTAGCAACAACCTATTTGTCAAGTCTAGTATTGTTTTCTATTTTCTATTGACCCTGATAATCTGTATGACATCTGACACACTTGACTGCTCTTATTTTCACAGCTCCCTTGGTTTAAGTTAGTTTCACATTCATATGGAATAAAGCATGAAAGCATCATAAAAATCTATGTATATGTAGCTGTAGTAATCTGGTGATAACCCAAATCCATACTTCAGCATAACATTTTTCCCAGATTCTAGTCCCATACCTTAAATTGCTTTGTAGTTAAGAAGCATTCACGTCTCAATTCGTCCTCATCACCTCATAAGGTATTTGGGACAGATATTGTCCCTATTTTATAGATCAGTAAACAGGCTCAGAGAGGTGGTTACTGCCAAAGGTCACACAGGTGGATTACCTTGTTAGCAGTACCTCATGTACTGACACCTGTCTTTCCAAGAGCCTTCTAAAACTCCATGTAAACTGGGTCATCTCTATCAGCCTCTTTACAGAACACTCACATGTGCCCTTTCCTTAATAGACATTGGGCTTTCTCCAGGCCTGTGCACTTCTCAGCCCTCACAAGTACAGCCTGCTCATGCTTCCACAGTGTCCACAACACAGGCCTTGTAGTCTTGGCGTCTTCTAGGTCATCATGCTTTCTCTCACAGAATACTGGTGTGAGATTGCTGACTTCTGCATGGGCATTTTGCATCTGTGTACTTCTGGAATTTCATCCCATTTTAATTTATTTTTTTATTTCTTTAGAGACAGGGTCTAGCTCTGTTAACCAGACTGCAATACAATGGTGTCATCATAGCTCACTGCATCACAGCTCACTACCTAGCTACTCAGGGAAACTCAGCCTGAGTTTACTCAGTTTACTCAGACCAAACTCCTGGGCTCCAACAATCCTCCTACCCCAGCCTCCCGAGTAGCTGGGACTATAGGTATGCACCACCTCTTTCGCCCATCTCCTTTTTCTTGTCTTTTTAAATTATCCTGGTAATAGCTACATACAAGTGAATGACACATTCTTTCATTTTGATTTTTGATGTTTAGTAAGTTAAATATTACTTATTGTAATAAGGCCTTATTGTAAGCCTATTTTAGGGATGATGCTAGTTGCTATAATAAGTAAGCCTGAAAGTGTCTGTAGCTTGAACACAACTGAAGTTCATATCTTGCTCACAGAACAGTCTAGAGGGCATTCCTGATCTGTGACCTGGTAAATTAGGAAACCAGGCTACTTCCGTCTCTGGCCCTGCCCTGAAAATCTTGAAGTTGGCTTCCAGCTAGCAAA